ATCTTTAATTTCAGTAAATCTATTCTGTTTGGGGAAAAATAACCAACTTTGAGGAATATATTTCCAACATTAGCATAAATATTACTGAAGAATTTTGTACTTTAATCAACTTAAAGTAGTTGAAAAGCGTCATTTATCAGCTCTGCCTCCCTGTCTAATTAGGCTAGAAATTTGATGCAGCACACTTAGCCTCTGTTCAAAATGGGAAAAACAAGAGAACATGCCCCTCAAATAAGGCAGCACCTTCATACACAGGCTCAGATCTACAGTCAGGACAAAAAAGGAAGGAAAGAAGAACTCAATGAATGGATGTAGGACAGAAAACAAGGACACAAGAAACACATTGAGATCTTTATGCAGTGTCTTTATTTGTTTTGTTATTTTGCTTTAGCATGAATTAAACGGCATCCGAAGTTTCTAGTTTGTTTCTAAATAAATGGAAGAAAGTCCTAAGTAAATTTCAGACAGGCCCAGTGAAAAGAATCCAAAGTTAATGTATGTAAAAAAAAAAATAAAATAAAATAAAAAAAAATAAAAGTCTGCTCTCTGCTGCTTGGTTTATGGTTTAGTAACGGTCGGTGTTTTCTGGATATGTTAAGGTTGAAGACGAGCCTTCTTTCCAACACGTGACGTATAAAAACATGCTTTCCAAACTGTCTGAAAGGAAACCACAGATAAATTAAATACCAAAGTTTTGACCTGCTCTGAGTGACACGATAGATTTAATTGAGACGCGAAGAGCAGGTCGAGTACATGTGAAGTCAGGGTGAAAAATGAAAGACGGGGGGTGGAGGACACGAGCCTTCTGCCATTCAGGCCCACCTACGTCTGGCTGAAAACCCGAAGGACAGCCAATCAAGTCGAGAGAAGAAACGAGGAGAGTAGAAAAACAGAGCTGTTAAACGATCGTTTTTTTGGCTGCTTTTCGGATGGTTTTACTGTCTGATGAGATAAATCAAAACCTGCACAGCAGAGCCAGGTTAGCGATCTGAAAAAGATATTTTGGAGCTCTTCTGGCAAAAACAGCCGGCACAAATCTCCGCAGATAAAGTGGAACCTTATTTTTTTGTTTTTGGTTTTGTTTTGCTTCCGAATCTTTCTGGTCGATTCTTTTGCCAACGAATACCACAGTTTGTGATCACAACGAGCTTTTACTTTAACGGGGACCGTATGTAATAGGCCAATTTTTGGATGAATCTCTTCAACGCAAACGAATCCAGAGGCAGTTTCCTCGTTGGCCTGTTAGCCTGGTTTCCAGCCCTTCGTTTGATCCAGGTGTGTCGGAGCAGAGATGCGTCCACAGGTCGGTGGCCGTCAAGGACCAGAGTCTGACCTGGAGACCGAAACTTTCCTTCCTCTCCTTTGCAAACTAGCTCATAAGGTTGGATGGAGTCTGTGGGTGTTTTCACAGATTTAGGGCTTTAACTAGACCATCTTATCACTAATATCCTTTGACATGAACCCATCCCATCAAAGAGAGGTGAACAGGACTTTCTTCTGACATCGTTACCACTTCATAAAGAACAGATTCTCGGAGAGGTTATATCAAGAGAACTTGGTTATTTTCAAAGCTCGTGGTGTTCTTTTATAACCAAACTCATTCCTCTGGTGTCTTGCATTGTTTTCTGTTTTATCTCTTTAACATCCCACTAGGTGTGTGAACAAACACAGTGTGGCACAATTTCTAATCTGAATGACAAATGTGAAAATCAAAGCTCATGCAACTTATTTCCTGATGCTTGTCTGGGTAATATTTTGTATTCTTGCGGTGAAAACTGAACGGCTATGATCACAAACTCTCTTTCTGTGTGAGTTTCATTACCATGTGGCTCTCCTTCTGCTCCAGCCACCGCCGGTCTTCCTCCATCTCCTGCTGCTGCTTTATCAGCGTCTCTTCCATCAGAGCCTGGTTCACATCCAGTCTCTCCTGGAGAACAACGAGACCAGAAAACCAGAAGAAGAAAAAAAAAAGATATGGTCAGCTTTTATTTCACATGCAGCTACTGAAAAGAGAAGGAGAAGAAACAAAGCGGCGTACGCTGCGGTGTTCCAAAGTGGCATTTAATATGCCAAGATAATTATATAAATAAGACTTAAAATGGGAGATTTAAGTTCTGGTAAAAGATTCAAGCAACTTTTATAGAATCAAATTATATGTAAATGTTCGATTAACCCTCATGCTAAAAGCAATACTGTAATGTAGCACTTAGAATTGTGTAAGATCAAGATATCTGCATGTTTCAGTAAGTCAGATTTAAGACTTTTAAAACAGAGTGAAAACTTTTTGCCCAGATTTAAAGCCAATTTAATGCCACCTTGAATTAAATTTAAGACCACAGAAACTCTAAATACAAGGGAATCCTGCTGCAATCCAGCATAATTTAATTTCCCTCTGGGATTAATAAAGTATTTTTGAATTAAATAGAATAACAAAAAATGTGAAATTTCTGGGGTCTTTTTGTGACTATTGGCAGCGGCTTTGTGTTTCTCACACTGCATACCAATCTCTACAGCCTTAACCCTTATTTTTTATTTGAGCCAGTGGTGAAAACGATCGTCGTTCAACCAGCTGGACATACATTTGCACTTACAGTATTCACAATAGACGCTAGCCAGCTAGCAATCTAGAAGGGTATTTCAGCAGCTAGTTAGCGGTAGCTTTAAGTGCCTCAAGTCAAAGAAAGCAATGCAGGTGTCTGCGAGTAACTCCACCCTTTGCCTGACAGAAAAGTCCCGCATTTAATAAAAATAAAAAATAAAAAATAGCTCCCTGACAACGAAATAAAAGATCTGGGATCAAATTATTAAATTTTTTAAAATGAATTGAAGACATCTGAAAGCCTTAATTTTTAGATACATGAATTTAAGACTTTTTAAGGATAATCTGAAGACTGAAAAATAAAAATAAAATAAAAAAACAATGGCTTCTGTTGCTTCTGATAGAGGAAATAAGCAGCTCAATTTTACCTCCATAGTTGGGTTCCACAGTGGTGCATGTTCAGGTCTGAGCTGATTCCACGAATCAGAAGAGGAATAGCTGCCTCCTACTCCTCCGACTCCACCAGGCGACGGCTGGAGGCAGGAAGAGACAGGAAATGTTTCGTTTCATTGTGTGAACAATGCTCTCTTTTAGGCATAAAGAAGCTCAGCATTAGCAGTCATCTGTCTGTCCACTGCTGGAGGAGCGGTTGCTGTAAAGTTAATGGCTAAAAAAACAAAAACAAAAAAAAAAAAAAAAAAAAAAGAAACACCCTACTGTTTTTTTGGCAATAAGTTCATGTTTTTTGGTGACTGGAAAACAAGTAATTTCTAAGCCTAGCCCGTTAACTAGCAACCGTAGCTGCACTCCAGCATGTTTGTCCAGCTGGTTTTACCGCTGTATCCACTGTATAATGGCTGCTGGACAACACAAGTGTTTTGTTGTTGACATGCCATCCCCGAAACCACTTGCTGCATTCTTGTTGGTTGTGCAGGAGGCTCTATTAATGCTTTTCAAAGACGCATGGTTATGTAATTGTGCATATCTTTGCAGCCATTTTCACGTGGGAGTGTAAACGCTGGGTTCGGGGGTCGGGGGGTGGGGGCGTGGCCAGCCACAGCTTATTTGGATTTAAAGTGACAAGACTCCCTAAAACAGCTCAAGTGAGAAGGAGCTCAATATAGGCAGAACTGAGCAGAATAAAATCTTATTATCTAAGAACGATTTATTTGGGGAAAAGAAATGTACTGAACATGTTTTATGTAGCCCAAAGACCTATCCTAATCTGTTTAAGGAATTATAATAAGTCGCCTTTAAAACAATTGAAGACTGTAGACTTGTATGTCGCTAAGTATATCCTCAGATTCTTGACAAAAATAAGATTGAGAGTTGTTTTTTTTTGCCATAGAGAGAAAACGGTGGTTTTGATTTGTGCCTGCGTGGCCATGTGTGAGCAGCTTTTAGCACAACAGGAAATGCCTTCCGTCTGCTCCGTTCACGAGGAGAGGATTGAGAGAACTCATTGCTCTCCCCTGTTTCTCTTTGTTTTGACCCATGCAGCAGAGTCACACTGATCTGTGTCAATCCAGGGGTAACAGCCCCTCAAACTGTTGCAGATAAATAAATCCCTACATTTATTTGTGTGCCTCTGATAGCTGTCTGATGCTTAAAATTGATAATATACATAAGTGATTTATGTAGTGAAGAGAAATAGCATAATTATGATTAAAATATTTCATAAATTTTATTTGTAGTTGCAAACATATTTTACATTTTTTTTATTACTTTCAGTCAACATTGATGTTTCTTTCTTGCACTGTGTGGACGTCAACTTTTAGGACAGCAAATAGCTTTTTTCCTTACTCAGATGAGGTTGGTGTGAGTTGATCTTTATGTCAAGAAAAGACAAAACGATAAAAACGACTCACGATGTAAAAAACCAAATGTTCAAATCTCATGCTGTGCTATTAAAGTGTAGCAAAGAACGGCTTCTTAGGGTCACCAAATTTCCACCGCAACCGCTTTTCGAGGTCTTTGCACACATTTTAAGTTGCAAAACACAACAGCAGATAAACAGTAATAACTTAACAGGTTTGTGTCCAATTCAAGCAGCATTGTATTTACTTATTAAACTCTTTCTTTTTAGTGTGATCCTGGTTTGGTTTACCTGGAAGTGGTTGGAAAAGAAGCTTTCACTGACGCGAGGGCTGGGATAGCCTGGCCGACTGGGCTAAAGACAGAAAGATACCAGCAGGCTGGAGTTTGTCATCATGTTCAAATGCCTCAGAGAAACAGGAAGTAGTAGCAGGAGAGAGGAAAAAGAAAGGTCAAGGTGTCAGTGAAGTCTTACTTTCGGTGGAGCTTCATCTGAACCTCCAGAGTCCCAGGAAACGGTGACCTGCCTCCTCATCTCCTCCCTCAGCCTCTCCTCTTGTATACCCTTCTCCTCTGTCAGTATGACACTGCAAAAATCACGAGAAGAATAACAGCACACATATTTATTTATGTGTTTTATTCCTGCAGTTCAAATCAACTCAGCCTGCTCGCATTTATTTACTAGCGAATTACACAAAACATACGGCTCAAGAGTGGTTCCAGATAAATACTAAAAGACTCGATCAAAAAGCTAAAACATAGAAACTGCCCTCACCTCTAGCACTGTGACTGTACTTTCTGAATGACTCACACACATTTGCAATGACGCATTTTCGTAGTTGATAAAAATGTAAGTTGTTGTTTATTACAGTTGAAACCTAGAGTCCTGATTGCAAACGTCAGCAAAAAAGTCAATATTAAGACAAAGGCTGAAATTAAAAAACAATTATTTAATCACACACAAACATTTAACAGTACAGTGGAAGTTGTTTACAATCTGGATAATCTACTGAGAGATTTTTGATTCCAGGTATTTTTGGAAAAGTACGTAATGGTACAAAATCTCCATCTTGAACCTTCAATAAATAAATCTGACATGCATCTAATCTATGGTCAAAAATGAAAGTGGTCTGGGTCAGAATTGAACACAAAAAAATCAGCTTTAGGGATGAAAAGGTCAGATTTGGGCCTCTTTTAACTACACTGTGAACCAAACATAAGGCAGAAAAGTAAGTAAAAAAATGTAAACACCACGCCACAGGGAGGCGCCATTTCCATCTGGACTGAGAGTCCAGAAGAAGAGAAGATCCACTCCACCAAAATAACTGTTACCACATATCATAAAAGTAACAACTTTAAATAAAACAGGACTGAAAGTGAAAGAAAACATCTCAAAATAAATAGTTTGCCTTCTGAAATTGTGAGGAACTTGATGGCGTCACCATCCTAGTTTGTTCCAAGGAAATTAGAAACAAACTGAGGCACCTGAAAACTTCTTTGGTCCAATTTAAACCTGCTGTATTGGGGAAAAAAAAGAGAGAGAGAGCAGTATTCACCTGAGTTGTGTTTTGAGTTCAGTGAAGCGTGGCCTCTTGCTGGGGTCGTACGACCAACATTTGGTCATCAGGCTGTAGAGGGTGGGCGGACACTGGGGAGGCATGGCCAGCCGCTCCCCGTTCTCTATCCTACCAATCACATCGTTGTTCTTTACCCCCTGGAACGGCTTGATGCCGTACATTAAAATCTCCCACATACACACTCCTGCAGGGGGAAAACACAGCAGTTTTTAGTGTGTAATCCCATCTAAGATGTGTGTTTAGAGACGCAATCATAATTGGAACACATCAGAAATGCAACTAAACTTTTTAAAAACATAGGAACTACTCAAAATGTCCTGTTACATTCATTGTATGAACGCTGCTGTAGATTTAAAGGGAAACTGCTACTCAAATTACAAAAAGTGAATAAAAAGAATAAAGGAAGGTAGAGAATGAAGTGGGAAAGAAATAGGAAAAGTAAAGAGAAAGGCAAATCTTTGAGAGTAAATTGTCAGAGTAATATCAGATGAACTCACCAAACATCCAAACGTCACTAGCAGAGGTGAATCTCCTGAAGTTGATAGATTCTGGTGCCATCCATTTAATAGGAAGTTTACCTTTAGAAGCTGAGACACAAACATTTGATCATTAATATACTCAGAACCTCACCGAGAATCGACGACGACGGAGGAACTGCAGTTCCCTAATGTCACCACTAGATGGTAGAAAAGTACAAGCGAAAGAAAAGCTACTCCAACTAAAGCACAGACTGATCTCAGCTCTTTGCTTAGTGGAGCAACTAAAACCTGTATAGAAAACATCTCACGTGCGTGACGGTACAATGAAAACTTTGATGACTTTACTCCTCATTACAGTTGGACATGCCATTACCTTTGTAGTAAGAGCTGTCCTCCATGTATCGAGACAGACCAAAGTCTCCGAGCATCACGCAGTCCACAGAGGAGACCAACACATTACGCGCCGCAATATCTCTACAACACACAACATCTGTGTTCAGCTTTGAATCCTCAAATTAGAAACATTACGCAGATTTATTATAAATGACATTGTGATTATAACTTAAGATGTGACTGAATAAGTAACTTAAGTTTATAACTTTTTATATTTAGCTAGTGACTTTTTTATATTTTTAGGAAAAAATGTACGTCTTACAACAGAAAATGTTAGGCAGAGCACAAAATTGTTTATTAATAAGAATTTTTTTTGGATTCTCTTTCATTTTATAGTGGATAGGAGGAGCACTAACCTCCTAGGCTGACTAGAACAACCCTAATTCTGGTTCTTATTGCTAAAAATAGCATTTTTTAAATTTGCTTTTTTATTATTATTATTTTAAATCAAACCCAAAAGAATTTTCAAAGTAGATGCCAATCTTTTAATGAGTCAAGATGCAATTATGGATCTTCCATGATTTAAAATGACTTTGTTTTCTTATTTTAATGTTGAGAGGGAAAAAAAGCCCACTGTCGTTTTATATGATTTCAGTTTTTCAAGAAGTAAAATACTTTTTTAAAAGTTTAGATGGCTGTACCTGTGCACAAAGCGTTTGCTCTCCAGGTAGGCCAGCGCTGTGCTGAGCTGGTAGGAAAACAGAATGAGGGTGGCCAAGTCCAGGCTGTACTTCTTCACCTGAAGGAACGACCGCAGCTACACACACACGCACACACACACAAACAAGCGCAAAGAGAAACATAAACGCACGTTTATGCAAATCTCCGTCCTGACGGACGAAGGAGGAAAATGTGACAAAGCGCTCTTAAACGCATTGCACCTCTCCGAGCGTGCAGAGCTCCATGATGATCCACACCGGGTTCTCTGTGATCACGCCGATCAGTTTAACGATGTGAGGGTGGTCGAACTGGCGCATTGTTACTGGAAAACAGAGAGAGTGAGCACTTCTGCAAGGAAACGGTGAGGAAATGAAGAAACGCAAAGCGCCGTTACAGGCTTCTTGAAGGAACTTCTCTCTGACGCTGTCTGTGGTGCAGTTTTTGCAGGTTTTGATGGCAACAGGCAGAGGCGGCTTGTCCTGAGGAACGCACAGAACGCAGGATAGCAGATTGAAAAACACGAGCGTCATTTAACGATTGTGTAGGCATTGATGGATTATGAAATACAATGCCTGACTAACTGAGGTTTGGGAAATATTTTATATTTGAGAAAAGAGAACAGAAACATAAAAAGTAGAGATCTGCTTGTAAAACACAGCAGATCCTTTAAAGTTGTAACTGCAAATTGAGGTGAGGAGGGAGAAATTGGTTTAGTTGTACATCAAAACTAAAGTTGACTTTTTTTGACATTTAATACACAGGATAGAAACGTTTTTGATGTTAAGTATGTGTATAATGATCAGGACGGACACACGTACAGACGACTCCTTATCAGCATGAATACTGTATTAAATTATGGCTGAAAGACTTTTTTTAACCCTTCACTTTCCAGGTGACTTGATCACACAATAAACAGCTGATGTTTTAAGTTTGAATTTATTATGGATTGCATCTACTAAGGGCTGCACAATTTTAGGAAATCTATATGTGCGTATGTGACGATATCTCTCTTCCTTGGCAAATTGCAGAAAGTGACACGCTTTTTGTATCCATAAACAAAATCCTGGCATAATTGGGGGAAACAAAACTAACAAAATGTGTCAAAGTTTCAAACGTTTGGCTGTTGATCTGAAATGATTTCGAAGTACTCAGATGTAGTCCTTCGTCTTTATCATTCCACCTCGTGGATTCAGAAGCAGACTCTCTCCGGCATCTCCTATTTGATAAAATTCCTCCTCAGTGGCTTCCTGGATCATCATTCTAACTAAATCACCTGAGCGGGGATAGTTTCGTTTAAAGGTTCGACTCGAACGCAACTGGATGTTCCAAAGAGCCCAAAAAACTTTAACTAGTTTTGAACTGGCTAAAGCAGACTAACGTTAAGCTTCAACAATGTAATTGTCCATATTTGCTTCTGCCTCTTCATTTAATTCAAACAAAAAGCGTCGTGTTTTTAGAGATGTTAGTGTTTATTCAACGACGTTTGACCGTTTGCGTGTGTGTACGTTTCAACAAACCGGGCAGCTGTAGACTCCTTGGTGAACGTCGCCAAACTGACCCTCTCCGATGCAGCGACCCAACTCTATCCTGTCTCTCTGGATCTCATAATCCCGTGCTGAGAGGGGAACATGAGAAAAGAGCAAAGAAAGTATTTTTAAAAAACAAACAAAACAAGGCTATCACATTTAAAATGAACAACTTTCCCAGTATTATAAAATGATGAAACGTTTCTGTTTCCCCCTGAGGTTAAAAAAAAAAAAAAAAAAAAGTACCCACTGGTAGTAATCGGCAAACGTTTCGGTAGGTCTCCTGTTCGCATCACAGACTGAGGAAATCTCAAACAAATGTTCTAAAACATGCAAACCAAACCACCTCCATCATCATTAGAAATTCTTCATGCAGAGTAGATAATACTCTTGGAGTGCTTTGAAGTGAAAGCATTCTGAAAACAAACTCAAATGTAATTTCCCTCTGACTGAAACAGATGTGCTGTACTTACTCTGGTCTCTGTCTTTTTACAGTACCACTAATATTCAAAGGAAACTATTAAAGTTTGCGACTAAAACCACAATCCTCGACATTCGAACTAAAGCTGACACTTAAGTTCTGCTTCTGTAAAGGTCAAGCTGACTGCCGGGATAGCAGAAAACCGAACAATCAGGATGTTGTGAGGCAAATATTTCGCAATGCGCTGGCTCAGAAATTTTGCTTTTGTAACTTCAAAGACAAAACAGCACAGCTTGAAAAGTGCCAAAATACATTCCTTCTTACAAGATTTACAGCAATTAATCTATACTGCTACGAGAAATGAATATTGCTTCAAACATGAAAGAAGCCACAGAGAACTGACACAACCACAAATCGTAAATAAAGACATTTGACCAAACGATGGAGCAATGAGAACCAAACCACCAAACAACACAAACACAATGCAATTACATCACTTCTTGAAGTCTGAAGAGACTCGATGTTCTCAAATTGTGATTTTGATGTTTTTCATGGACTGGCTCTCATTGGGAAATTCAGCAGGATCGTCTCCAAAAACACAGGAAACAAACTCGGTTTAAAACGGCACCTGGTCAGTTCGCTCCTTCCCCAATCAGTACCACAATGCTACCCAAAAAGCCCACTTTGTACCCACATGCCAACCAGTTCATACCCACTGACTGAAACTCAGAGTATCTGTACATTTTGATATGTTACAGAAATACGCAGTCATTTTCAGGAGTCAAACTCAACGCAATAACTGACAGAATCTATTCTAAATAGGAAACACAGATGTTTGTCGCAACGAGCCATGTCTACAATTCGTACTGTGAGAGAGCAAGACTCCAAGCAGGTAACAGGAAGGCTGGGCAAAGAACAGAAACCTGATGCATTTAGAATCACAGCAGCTTCAGAAAGTCTCAGAGTTAAGGGAATAATCTACTTTCTCTAGTAAATGCATATGTGGCAGGTTTTTTACTAACAACAAACCAAACTATTAACATAAGATAATAATGCCATTTAATTAGTAGACAATTAACTCCTGCAGTTATTTCGCTACAAATTTTCAGATTTTTGCTGACTCAAGTTTTTAGAATTCTGCATTTTTTTATAAACTTGCAGACATTTTGAGTGCAATGTATGATTCAAGCTGAACCAGCTTGAATCATAGTCAGAAGGTTTCACAAATGATTAAACGTACACCTTTTTGATGCTTCGACCATCTTAGATGGAATGGGATATCCTAGACTACACCTTAAAGCATTTTATGAATTTTGGCATCTTTATTAAATCCCTTAAAATAGTATTTTTAATGCTTTCTTTGGCAGTTTGGAACCAGTTAAAGAACCACAGTCCAGTTCAACCTGAAATTTATAGTTTGGAAAAGGTTTCAGCTAAAGATCGGTATTAGCCCATCAAAACTTTACAAAAACCAAAGAGACCAGTCACAAAAGTTACGTTGATGAGCATAAAATATGCCAGATTAAGGCCCCTGACCAAACCAAGGTAGTTCTTAGCAACCTCCTGCTGGTGGATGTTATCATAATCAGACGACCCAATTTCTAGACTATTGAAAAATGTTTTTAAAGCAGGTATGAAATGTACCCAAAGTGGGTCTGAACTGACACGTGGCTGGTGCACATCCATCCCACACTTTGTACCTGATAACTTCAGGTAGGAAACATGCAAAACCCAAACTGGCGAAGGGCCGAAATGACCAGAACCCGCATATAAAACATATAAAATACTATTTTCCAGGCTCCAACTGTGGAAAAAAGAAATATTGAGAGCAATTCCCAGACAAATGCACTATTTCAGCATCACTAAATTTTAGTGGCTTCAGTAAGCAATATGAAAATCTGAAAACGCAGCACACTTTTAACACCCATTTGGTTTAACTGTATGATGAAGCTAGTAGGGCCTGGAAAAAGAAAACACTACAAACGCATTTCATTGGGATATTATGAGAGAGGCGGGTAGTTTTACCTTCAACTACTCCATAGCTCACTGTGTTGGCGGTGGGGAAAAAAAAAAAAAAACAGAGGAAGAAAGACAGATGAAGAGACAGGGGGGAGAGCCAGACTGCTACGTAAAGGTTAAAAAAAGCTCAGAAAACACACACTTCTTATATCTGACATTTGGTTAATAGACATACAAAATACAGCTGCAGACTGGTTAAAAAAGCAGGACCGTTTTACACACACTGTAACTTTAGCCATTTTAGCCGACAGTTTGACATGAAAACGTATACAAACTCAGGAACGGAGTCGGAAAATATGCTACATGTCTAGAGAAATGCTGATTAGAGGAAGTAACCGAAAAAGAAACTAAAGAAGAAGAAACAACAAAAAAAAAAAAACAAAAGAAGATAAATATAGCAAGACAGAAGAACGCAGCCTAGTTTCAAAGATACCCATGCAATTACATACATAAGTACTTGTACTGGCCAAGACATCCACTTTAAAAGATATTTGAGCCCAGAGCTCCAGCAGCGGTTACAAACAGAAGTACAGCCAAGCACACTGACATATTGAGGGTTTTTATGGACATCTGAATGGATCTGTCACATGTCTCCAGGAACCACATGTGTAGTCTATGATTTGTAACCTCCAACTAATGTCTTTGCTGTTAATAGAAAACGGAAAAACCGGCCTAAATTGTACAGCGGCGCTCTGACCGAATGTGGTTTATAGCAATTTATGATGTTGCTGTTGTGAGCGCGCTTCATGGAAACGACTCACACAGCATTCCGATTATTAGGCTGCAAAACGAAACGGAAGGACTTGACAGACGCGCAAACGTCGCATTGGTTTGAAGACGAAACGTTTCTTCAGCTGATAGACATCGAGCAAAGAAGATGGGAAAAAAAAAAAAAAAAACTTACTTGAGGGCATGGTGTACGTATCCTCTTCATCAACTATCTCTGCATAGTCGTCAGTCTCTGCAAGGTCAGAAGTAGAAGAATATAAGAATACTACAGCTGGCACACATTACGACTCACAAAACCGAAGAAAGCGTAAAAGTGAAGGAAGTCCGGCTCGTTTCTCCTCTCCGTCCCTAACGCCCTCCCTTTCTCTCTCACACGCACACAAACGCTTGGCAGATCGCGTCAGCTGAGCATGTGTTGTGAATATCTGTCTGTTTGAGAGCAGCTGGATAGCAGGGAGTTACTGAGGTGAAGCAGGAGGAGGAGGAGTAGAGCGAAAGCAGGAGAAAAAAAAGAAAGAATTGAGGGAGGAACTGGAGCGAGAGCTAAAACATTTGGGGGGGGGGGGGGGGGTGATGGTGGGCAAAAACAGTGCCACGGTGCACAGATATGAAAGAACAG